AGGCGAACAGTCTGGGCTGGGGGTGGGTGGGGTACTTGAGGATGGAGGCAGCTTTCCTACGCACCCTGCGGTGGTAAATACTCTGTAGAGAGGGCAGTGGAGTCCTGGTGATCTTCTCCGTAGTCTTTACCACTCTCTGCAGGCGCAGAAACAGCCAGAGCCTCACATCTTCAGCACACATTTGCTTTTACAACTCTGATGAACCAAAAACAGCAACATCCAGAGCACAATAAGAAAGTACAAATCTCTTTTAAACTACAGAGAAAGGGGGAAAAGCAAGAGATGAGGAGACAAAGAGACTGGGGTAGGCACAAGATATAGAAAAATAGAACCGTAAAAAAAAAAATGAAGGAGAAAAAACTAAATCCCAGGCACTGAAGCACTGCAGTGCTGCTGGTGGAGCTGTGTGGGTTCTTTGGCCAGGCCCTACAGCACGCTAAGATGCTTACCCTCCACATAGTCTCACAAAACAACCCCAATCACTACCATCTGAGCACCCTCAAACTCCGCACATTGAGTACATACAAAAATCCCACACTTGGTAAGGAGGCACAGAGGGGCTGGGTGGTGAGAAAGGGAAGGAAGGCTGGTTAAAAGGAATGGCAGACGGTGACTGGAACGCACTGTGAGGGCTGCATTTAGTCACCAGAGGAAAGGGATGAAGGGCAAATGAATAGATGGGTGGCAAAAGTCATCCTTCTCTCACAGAAAACAGCAATCGAGCTGGCTTTGATGACCTCTTCATAAATCTAAAATTAATACACAGGATGCAGAAAAATGAACGACACAGACTTGGGTTGGTTTTGATGGACACCTGTTAACAATTACAAAGCCATGATTGAATTCTCCACAAACCAATGAAAGACTCAAGCACAGCCTCAGATGGTCAAAACAGCAAAGACAAAAAGAGGGATGATAATATGAGGCAAATGACTGGAAAAAAAATAAAACAGGCAACACTATCAAGGAAAATGATGATGCTATAAGCAATTGTGCTCAAACGTGGTGCACTAATATAGAATGTTTTCACCACATGAATTTGCGGTCATATAAATTTAGAAATCTTGAGCTATATATGAAAATCAAATGGTATTGTGTTTCTCAATCAACCACCAAGTTTAAAAATAAAGATTTTTGGCACTATTCTTTTGTTTACATTTGGGTCACAAAGGGTGCTTCAAAATAAAAGTTTATAACTGTAATATAATTAAACCACATAGCATCACACAAGGACAAACACTTTGATGACCACTGTAAAAATGTGTGATTAAAGGAACAGTTTGACAGTAGTATGAATGAGGAAACTAACTTACGACACATCAGAAATGTAACCTTTTTTATATTTCTAAGATTAAACAAACAACAAAGAGTCAGAAATCTGTTTTCAAAACATAAAGCAGCTACAGCAGCTCCAGGGCCTACCTGTGGTTCACTGTGTTGAAGTCACTAACAATGCACATCAAAGATTAAGCTATCATCCTCTGGCCCTTTAATATTACACACTCATGCTCTACTTATGTGTCATCTCCTCAAAGATCAGCCCATGTTACCACAGCACTGTGTGGTCCCTCTGTGGGTTCAGAGAAATAGGTTTGATGACTGTCTGACATAGCCTGCAACTTTGTGGCAGTACCCAGTGAAAATAGTCAGATGTGAAAAGAAGAGCCAGACATGGATGGTTAAAAGACATGAGGTAGAAAAGGAAAAATATGCTGTGCAAAATCATAATTTAGGGAGAAAAATACATGTGGCTACCAGCACTGTATGCTGTAGCAGTAAAACACATACAGTATATGCAAAAATAAAAATGATGTGAGCAAATGTATAAACACAGTTTTTAAGTGCCACTTAGCACTAGACACTCAGTCTATTATGGAGGCAGCAGGAAAACAATGTTGGGGAGCAAGATCAGACAGGACTGAAAACAGAAAACAGGCTGCATTCCAGGACAGACAGCCCAACACAACAGACACAGGGAGAGACACAGAGACAGACCATCTCTGGCCTAAAACCATCGCCCTGCTCCCCCAGATAGGCTGAGCTGCGGTGAATAGGTTTTTTTGATGTTGCCTGCCATTCCTGTCATTTGTGGGAAGTGGAAGCTTCTTTGAAGAAGAGAAGGCGAATGCAGAGAAGCTACAGACTTAGTTATGAGTTTATTGTTCTTGTGTTCTTTGAACACTCTACTAGAGGGGTGCAAATTTACTATGAGTGGACCCAGTGAACCCAACTCTGGTCGTTAGTCCTTTACTTAAAACACTGAATGAAAATTTACTTCTATTAAGTGTTGAAAATACACAATGAATCTCGACTGATTTTAAACATTTATCAAGGCTGCAACTAACTGTAACTTTTCATTTATTAGCTGATTGGTCTCTCAATTGATTAAGGTCAGAAAACAGTGAGCATGAGACTTAGTAAACCCATGGTCTTTAAATGTCTTGTTTTGCCTACCAATAGTTCAAAACCCCAAAGTATTTAATTTACTATCCTACTACTATTTCTTATTTCAACCCTTCATCTGTGCAATTGTTGTTACAGTAAGAATCATCAGAAAAGAAGGGGCTGTTAAATCTAATCCGTCCTATCATAACCAAGACTCAATGCTATTTAAAAAAGTTATGTAAATTCTCCCATTTTCCATGGGCACCCATGCACATTTTGCTCACAAAATTGACATTATACTGCACTGTATACAAAAGCAAGCAGACATACAGTAGATGCAAACACTACCACTCATACATGGACCTCACGTCTCCTCTTATGGGTCAAAGACCATCTGGGAAGTTCAAGGTTTACTTTCAAAGCACTGCTTTAATTAGCAAGATGTTTTATTAGATGAGAAATTAATCAAAAGAACACAAACAGTTAATCTGGCAAAAATGTGAAGGTTCCACATTGTTTATCATAAGCCATCTGTACGAACGCTCTCAAAGCTGCAGAT